GGCGAGGACGGGGGTGTGCTGAGGAAGGCGGTGGGAGGATCGAGTGGAAACACGAGCGCGGTGTGAGAGATTAGATAGATAGATAGATAGATGAAAGATAGATAGCAGAATAGATAGATAGATAGATAGATAGGTTGAAAAGAGAGTGAGACAGAGAGATGGTGGGGGCAGAAAGGGGGCTGTCGGAGTCAAATTCATATGAAACGATATTACGCACAACGACCAATTATTTTTACCAGAAATTTATCCTTCTGAAACGGCCCCAGATACCCTTATTTGCTAATCGTTTCGCATAAGCATAAATAGAGTTTCCAGATAGACTAGTTTAAGTGCAGTACAAATTTGTAAAAACTCCACGCAGACTCATTAGAGACGTAGTGAATCGAGAGACTGGCGCACGATAAATATTATTACCACCGTATATTAAGACGGCCGGCCAAACGTATGCGTTACACGATCACAGAAAGCGATTATGCTATTACAAACCTGATAGAACGAGATATACAAAAAACATAGAAATATAACTTCGAATGTAATCGCTTCAAAGAACATCATTGCACGCTTAATACCGATTATAATATCTGATTGAGTGTGGTGTGAAGGCGAGAGTTAGAGCATCTATAGAGTAAATTCGCTTCACAATCATCGGATACATCAGATTCGACACCAGATATGTAAGTCCTGAAAATTAGAGATACTGAGCATTGGAAACGGATGGCGGATAAGAAATGTGACGTCACCGGAGATATGAAACGCAACTTAGATGACCAGCTCCATTAGAGAGATGCATCGCCGTGAATACGAGACCAATAAATACGCACACGCGAAGATGACGATCGTCCACTTCGATACACTTCACAACCAGGCACCTGATGAGGTGCAAAAACAAACGGATGATATAAGTACATACTACATATACTCGAAGGCCGTGAAGCGGCCACCCGAGCATCGGACATAACGAGCAGATGGCATTGGCTGTCACACGCGCCACCAGGACAAAGAGCGGTTTACGAGCGGAAGAGAGCGATGGGTCGTCCGATTTGCCGGGTGTACAATGCATATAGGATCTCTATACAATATAGCTATATCTGTACGTGATTATGGGATGGCTGTATCGGGGCCCGGTGAGCAAACCTTTACGACCAATAATCTTGCGCGAAATAGAGCACGATAAGGTAAAAACTATGGAGATGAGAGAAAGCGTCTGCATATGTGAGAACAAGCGAGAGAGGAATACCCGAGAAAAGCCACGAGCAACGCCACATAACACACACACACACACGCACGCACGCAACGCACGCCAACCGCGCAGCACACACAGACACTCAATCCGGAAAGAAGAAAGAATGTCCATATGCACGAGCATTAATAACCGGAAATCGAGCGGAGCGGATGTATATATAATATGTAAAGTCTCGAACACATTTCATTCTCTGAAACGGCATTAGTGGCTGTTACGGGGTTGTGGAAGAGACACTGAGATCATAAATATTTTCTCGTGAACATCACGCTCTCTTTTCGTGGATATATATACGTTATTCCATGCTTCCGGTATATATTGGCGGATGTAGCTCTTGGCATATCTCTACTGACGGAATATTGGCGTAAAAGGATGTGGTAAGCTGTGGGAACATGGCTTCGTAGTTGTTAAGACAAGAAAAAACAGGCATAGTTAATAATGACCATGTGTTTTTATGTGGCAGTCTGTATAACTTATGAAGGGGGCGGTGTGTTCGTTCTAGGCTGGCCATGGTTGCCCTACATTCTTCCAACCGCAGCAGTACTGCCACCAGCCAATCGATTCCCCCAAAGTACGATATATTTCATTACCCTACATGGTATACCAGTATAACGCGAAACGCGACCGAATAATTCTGTCCCAGATCCCAGATAACGTTTTATATTTTGGATGCGTTATACTGGTCCAGTATAACGCATCCACAATATAAAACGTTATCTGGGACAGAATTATTCGGTCTAGTTTTAGGCATGCTTAAGAATTTACTACAAATTCGGCAGATTACATGCCCTATCCCGATTAATTTAGCGTAGCCGGCTCATGCGGCCTAAGAGCGTAGTTCTAGTCCCTATTTCTGGTAGGTTTAAATAGGCTTTATTTTATTGTGGAATATTGATGACAAATACGGAAAAACACATGAAAACTTAATTCACACAATATAAATTTAAAGTCGCTGTCCAGCACTGTTACCCCCACGTGGCGCAGCGCTAGCCAATCTTTAGTTAAGCCCCCTGCGCATGTGCCATTGCCACAAAGGCAACCAGTTATTGTTGTTTTTGTTGTTTTACCAAAAGAGATTCCTTTTCTCAGAGAGCTGTTATTGCTGTACTATGTTATTGTTGATTATATTTTGTCATCGCGTTGTTTAATAGCGAACTCAACGTTTTCCGTATAAAATACGACAGATTAATGCAACATATTGTACGCGTGGTGACATATGCATAAACATCGACCACAACAAACATTGGTTTTCTTTATAATAAGTAATTGTAAAAATTGTTTTAGCTGATTTTTTCTTAATAATATTAAATGTTAAAATTTTTTATATAATTTAACTAAATTGATTGCGTGAAGCTGGAAAAGTGTTATCCCTAAACTAATTATCTCTCGGCAGATTAATTAGAAACATACAAATCCACTCAAGCATAGCGTCACAAGTTGTTCTAATTCATATTTCAAAGTTATATGCGTAAGCAATTTTGCTGTTTTAACCAAATTCGTCTGTCACACATATTTTGGTATGTGTGTGTGTGTGTGTGTGTGTGTGTGTGTGTGTGTGTGTGTGTGTGTGTGTGTGTGTGCTGCAATTTCTACGAGCATAATGTGATATTATACGTTCAAGAGCATGCACGAGTATCTCCACGTTAAATCGCCGAATCTCTGAGAATTTACTTAATTTTGATGAAACCTCACAAGCGACTATTGCTCATTATTTCATTGCACGGATTCTCCCATATAAATTGCCTATTCAATCAATTTGCAAATTCTCGCGTTAAAAATCTAAATACGCGCCGTTAAACATTCTGTCAATTTAATCCGCATGACGAAAATTACAACTGGATAATGTGAAACTAATTATAAGATGCTAAAAATGCTCAATTTATTAACATCAGAGAACGAGGCTATTAATCAACTGGGTGATTATAATAATTGTCATAATTGTAATTAAACATACTACTAATTAATAATTTATAGTCGAGTCATTATTGGTTTATAAATGTACCACCACCCCGAAATATACAAATGTCCAAATATTTGTATTGTTTTGAGCTACTTAACTTGGATATTTTTATGTTCTACTAAACAGTATTCGTTTGTTCAATTTTTATACCATGTTTTATCATGATATTCCATATTGCATGTCATGGCCTCTACTAATGAAGTTCATTCTCTACTAATGAAATTTATATAGGGCACCCACTTTCATACCATACGAGCATCACAGAATTGTATCCCTACTTTTACTATTGTCCTCTAGTCGTACACTATCAACTTTGTCATTGTAGTGTTGTACAGCGAAGATTTTGCCGTCTACTTTTAAATACCTACGGGATCGAGTAGATTAAGCTATTGGGTTTGCGTGTTTCCATTAAAATAATATCAAATTTGTTTGGAATGTTCGCGTTGTGCATGCTCCAGCGAGAAAATGCCGTCGCGAAAAATTACGTACTTGCCACACAAAGCTACCTCGTGTGGAGTGATCAGTAAAACGCGGTAGGAATCCTATCTGTGGTCATGTTTGCTATATGAGATTCCACATTGATGGGTGAAACACGTTCTTAGTCGAGTCATTATAGAATATACGAAATAATACCATAAAAAGGAATTCTCCTGCTATTAAGGAAAACTATAGAATTAACTATCCGGCCGCGAGCCACGCCCAGCGATGGAAATAACGCGGGTTTCCAGAATGCACATTGATTTTCTCCCGCTGACATTTTAAGCATCTAAAAACAAATTTTTTATTACGTATTTGCTCAATCAGTTTCTCGCAGCCGGATATAGAATTTATTCTTGTTATTTATTGTCTCAAATAATAAACTCAATCATCTAATTGACAATATTGACAGTAGAAAATATTGTCTAATAAACTAAAATCTTTAACATAATTATATTATGCACGCTAATAATTTTAAACGTATACTATTATACGAGATCTAATAAGATAATTCTTTCATTCATTCTAATTAAGATCATAAAATTACGTCACGGTTTTATATTCTTACCAGATTAAGATGTGAGCCGTAAAAGTGATGTAAAGTGTTTTCACCTATTGTGACGTCTTCGACGTTTCGGCGGTAGCTCACCGGATCCGATATTTAATTGTTCGTCTCCGTTTAAATGTAATTAATATGTAATTACAAATGAGCAGGGTACACGTGACTACTGTTAAAGTGAGTTTTATGATTCTCGGTTTGCATCATGGAGACACATCGACGTTAGTTTTTCTTCTTTTCAAGGCTAGTAGCCAATCAACAATTCTAACTATTGTAGTCATATTATCATAAACTTTTATTTGCGCTGCTGATGAATGCAGCTGCGCGTTTATGTAGCATTAATAATGAGTCACAGCCGATTTATAAATGTTTAAGGCTCGCTGCTTTTATTCGAGAGTGTAGCGAATGAGTTACCGGTGTAAGTGTCAGCTTCTATTATTGCATTCTCTCTTTCATATATATATATAGCCAATCACAGGCGTTGCGATCATTAGCACGGGCTAGCACGGGGGTTCTTAACATGTGGTCCATGGACCCCTTTGGGGTCCGCGGATGGGCTTCAGGGGTTCCGTGGACCCCATCGTATTCAAAATGTTGTGTTGATGTGCTTATGTGTATTTTTCTGGGGAGGGGTCTGTAGCTTTCACCAGATTCTCAAAGGGGTCCATAACTCAAAAAAGGCTAAGACCCACTGGTCTATAGCATCTAACGCGTCGATCGTATTGCTGCTACACGTCTTATATTCTGCGCGTACGCTGCTTCAGAGGACTCTCCCACGTTGAGTCCGGACAGAGCCAACCGGCTAGGCTCCGTGTCCTCGCAGCGCTCCCGATCCGGATCCAACCAGCAACACAGCCAGACGGAGAAGCTGCTATCGGCCGACGATATCAACTCGAAACCAACAAGTCCGACGACGTCGTCCGATGGCATCACGGCTGTGTAAGACACGTGTAGGACGCGTGACGGGTGAGTGTTCTCCATCGATGTAGACCGGCTCCTACATCGGTCAATCGACCGCAGGGAATCAGCAGGAGCCCGAATCAACCAGTCGCGAGGGCGGTTGGAGACAGTCCAAATTCGATCCAGAAAGAAGTTGTCGGAAACAAGATGGCGCGCGTCGGTCGTTCGTGGGAATTCTGCAGCGGTCGAGAGTAATTTCGGATGAGAGGCAATCTGAAGGCGGTGGCGCGGACGTAATAGTAATTTACTGAGCAGGCGCGCTGAAGTGTTGAATTTTGCGTGGAGTGCGGTTGTCGGATTTATTCATAGCGTGTCCACGCGAGCGCACCTCGCAGTAATGATCGCAAGCAAGCAGCTTATATCGATTTTGTATTTTGTTTTCGGTATGCATAAGAATAATAGAGAAAATAGTAAGAACTTTTGAAATGTTAATTATGACAGTATGTGTGTGTGTGTGTGTGTGCATGTGTTTGTGAGTGTGCGTGTCGGTGTGCGTGCGTGCGTGCGTGCGTGCGTGCGTGC